GTCAAAATTATTCGACAGCGTCGAAAAATATTTTTATTTTAGTATTATTGTTATCTTGGTGAACATTATGACAATATTCATCTAGTCTATCAAAAATCATCTAATATCGGTTTAACAACACTAAATTTTTGACAGGAACACACTAGGAACACACTATTCGGAGTTTTCGGAAAATAAACGATATTTTCGGAAAAAGCCTATATAAGTATAAACTTTTTTGAAATTTCGAAAAGAACAGCGTTCTTCGAACACATTTTTTTGTGAAATTATAAATCTAAAAGAAAGTAATTAATAAGAATAGTAAAATTAAATTAAACTTATATTTGTTGAGGGGTTACCTTACTAGTTCATGCATAGCTACTTATGTATATATACGGCTATATATTTCATATATCTTTAACGCCAATTTGTAGTAAACTAAGTAATTTTTAACACTACTTATTGACAATTCATTAAATTTATTAAAGAATTACAATACAAAAATATAAAAAACAAAAAACAAATACCATATTTTTTTATTAAACATTTTTAACAAATAAATTAAATTTAAACCAATTAAATAAATATAAATAGCTGGAAAAATTTTTTTAATATGCTTGCTTCTACTTTGAAAGAAGTGTGGCAAAATCGGTTGATATTATCCAAAATATTTAGTGTATGTTATTTTCCAGAAAAACTTTTATATTGGTAATTGTAATTAAGATGTGAAAAATGTCAGTTTATCACTCGAAAATAAATTTATGCCAAATAAGTGTGCCAAAATAACCTATTTAATTATTACTACTAGTTTCAAAGCCTGTAACATACCAGAAGTTATGGAGAATTAAAATATTTATGGTATATAAAAATAATTATGGTGAATAAGGTATTGTGGTGAATAAAAATATTTATGGTGAATAATGTATTTATGGTATTTATGGTATATTATGATATTGCAGATGGTTTTGCACGATTATGTTGTATGAGGTCTCCATGAATCGCAACTGATCATTATAATCATCCGTTTCAAGCATGCATTTTTAAGGTCCATATTAAGTTATGAGCTTAAATTAGAGTGCATGGTCTTTTTAACACTTTATATGAGAATTTTAAAGTTATGATTTAAAATTTCGATATTTCAAATCCATTCCCATTTAAAAATTTTAAATTAAACAAACAGATAATCTACAATGTTTACTTTTAATTTGTTTCATTAACTCATTTATTTTGCTGTTTATAATAATTATTAGATAATAGTTGATTTAATAATGTTTTATTTTCCGAAAATATTGATAAAATTTATTAAATACATAAATAAGAATAATAAAGTTTTTATATCCTTTGTATGTATGTGTATATAATAATTATTATATGAAGATAATGGTACTAATAAGAAAAGGTTTCGGTAGAGAAACAATTTGGTAAACAGATTATAATTTTTTCCATTTTTATTGTATGTATAAGAAAAAAATATTTTATTTGATTAAATGTATAACTGAGGAATAATATATAGGAGACCAATTATTATTATTGTATACCTTTTGTATATGAAATAAATCTGGAAAATCTTAATGAAAAACTTTGTTTTTAACGGTGTTATTGAACTTAATAATTATTTGTGTTCCAGGCGTGACGTATAATATTAGCTGCCAGCTAATATTATAGTCATAGATTAATTTTTTGCTAATCAACATTTGTCGTATGTATATCAAACAAGTGTTTATTATAATAAAATACTCGTATATTGAAATTTTGAAATTTGAAATTATAATAGCAATATCAATATTAAAAATTATCCATTTATTATATTTTAGAATCAACGTTACGCTCAAGCGTCTCTATGAATATTTTTTGAGTGTAAAATTTGCTTTAATATGTTAACGTACTCACATATTATGATTCTTGTCTCTGTTAAATATTTTCTAATAAAGCGCAGTAACTAGCACACTATACGAGTATTACAATTACAATGAAAGAAAAATTTCAAAATGAAGTCAAACAAGATTTACGATAGTGAAAGTATATTCATAAAATTTTCATTTAGAGGCAATCAATAACTTCCAAGCAACTGTTATACCTCCAAAAACGCTCAAAACTTTTAGGGCAACAATCTCTTGTTACCTTATATTATTAAAATTTGCCTAGTATTAAAAGAAGTTATTTTTGAATTTATTTATTATTAAAATATTTGGAAATTTTATAATTTTCACCGACTGTGTAGCATGCACCGATAAAGGAGATTATATTTCGTTGGAAATGGATTTCTCCATAGCAAGGAATCGTATATAAATTATTTTTGGCGAGACTAAAATTTCGTATATAAATTATTTTTGTCGAGATGATGGTTTCTGTAATTTTGCATGAATATAACTACATATGTCTCATATGAAAAAACTTTGGTATATGTCTGGTCTTTTCAACTGGACCTTTACTAAGAGCCGATTTTACATTTTTGATAATTTTTAAGAAATGATAATATTTAAGAAATAGTTGACGGTATTTCTTGAAATTTATTATTTGAGTTTTTTTTGTCATTTTGGTAATTTTGGAATATTTTTTTAGGTAATTCGGTTAGCTTAAGTGAACCCATTGCTAAGTGAAAAGAACAGTCAAACTTCCTTTTTTATTGGTATATTCACCTTAAAACTTACTAGCGCCTTTAAAATTTGCAAGAATTCTTAGGCCATATTTTTAATCTTCAAAAGCAACTTCACTATACCAGAACATACAAATTGCGGTTGATTATGTGCTGATCACATCAGATTTTTTTAATTAACTTAAATTTATATTATTTGTTATTTTATTTTGAAACGCGATTAGGTAGAATTGATACCAGTGCTCTTCTATACCCGTACCATATCCTGGAGTATAGTGTGGCCTTTAAAAGAAAACGCAAATTTTCTAGTGGTTTAAGGGGACAATAACAATATCAATTTTGTAATCTTTGAAATTTGTCAATTTTACTCATATTATCTGCTTAATTAATTAAATGATAAGATAACAAAAATTTCGTTAACACAAAATTATAATTTTAAAATCAAAATCTTATAAAAATAGTCCGAAAATTTGATTTAAAATTTAGTCTTATTAATAAATTTAAAACGTTAATTTAAAACTTAAAATGATTGCCAAATCTCTTCTGTTAATAATTGGTGTTAATGCATTTTTCTTGGTTGTTCGCACACATCCAATTGAAAATGATCCTGTATTTCTGGAAGAAATAAACCAAGAAATAGATCCTGAAGAAATCGGGGATTATTTCGAAGGTGACATGATATTAGACGAAGAACAATTAGATAGTATTATGAATAACAGGGGACGTAGTATTCGGGTTGGTGAAAAATATAAATGGAAAAAGGCCACTGTTCATTATGACATTGATTCCATTTTTGGTAAATTAATCATTTGAGAAACATTGTTTAGGTTCATGAAATAGTACTTAATAAATTCTATTTTCCTATATAGACCAATCACAAGTTGATTATATTTTGAAAGCAATGCAAATTATTGAACAAGTAACATGTATTAAATTTTATCCGAAAGCCGAGAAAACAATTGATTACATTAAAATTAAAGTAAAATTATTAAGTAGAAAATTTTAATATAATTATGTAATTAAAATAAAATTTAAGGGTCTTCAAAACGGATGTAATTCTCGTGTTGGTCGCCAAGGTGGAGAACAAGTAATTAATTTACAGCCACAGATCCCTGGAAAAGGATGTTTTGTTTTATATAAAATTGTTCATGAATTTATACATGCTCTTGGATTTTATCATCAACAAAGCGCTTTTAATCGTGATGATTATATTATAGTTGTTGAAGAAAATATTCGTGAAGGTTACAAGCATGCATTCAAAAAACATGAAATTTCGGTAGCAAATGATTTAGGTGTACCATATGATTATGAGAGTGTCATGCATTATGGTCCAGGACTTTTCTCAAAAAATGGCCAACCAACTATAATACCATTGGATCCAACAGCTAATATCGGTCAAAGAGTAAAATTAAGTGACAAGGATATTGCAAAATTAAATTTGTTATACTGTAGCAAAAATTGAGCTTAAAAAATTTTGAAATTATTGATAAGCTAATTTTTAAGTTCAATATACAAAGAAGAGTATTTTTAATAAGTTTTGCTTAAATGATTCACATAGAAAAATGCCTGTTGTTGTAAGTTCCATTAGCAGTATTTTTTTCCGAAATGTTGTGACTTCAAAGGAATGCTGTTTTCATTGTTTCGATAGCATTGAATAAAATTTTGTTACAACATAAAGGGAACCTGTTTAAAATTGCCAACATTTCCTAGAGTTCAAAAACAAGTCTGACGGCTTTAATTCTCATGCCGATATCAGATTTACTTACGTATCAAGCTTAAGATTTTGGCACTAAATGCGTTCTAACTAATCCAATCTATTAAGATTTTTGATAAGCTTCCCGATAGGTCTTTGAAAGAGAAAATCCACATAAAACAAACTGTTCGTTTGTATCTTCGGTATATGTTTTAAAAATTACGGCGGTTTAATAAAGCAACAGTGTGCAATTCAAAATGAATTGTTTGCAGAATTCAAAAACTTTTGTGAATAATTTCACTTGTATAATGAAAAACAATTGTCAAATTCGATCCCGTGCATAGCAAAAACCGATTGTAACAACTTTATAACTTATTTAAAATCCATAAATTGAAGAACTGTATATTTCCACTAGAAATTATTAACAATTTTTTACTACTTTTCTGGCACAATTTTCTGTAATTTGAAGCTGCTGTTCTTAAACGCTTGCAGGCTTAATCCAATTAGTAAAATGCTTTGATGATGATCGGTTAAATGATTTTGGTTTTAGAATCCCAATTAAATTATAAGAGGCACTCTTCAAAATTGCAAATCCTATTTATCTTATGAGGGATTAGTTTAATTGATTAGATAAATATAACGAGCATAATCTCAAGTTATTTTTAAAGTTTTGCAAATTGTTTGACATATAAAGTAGATTCGCCTTAAAAATAGAAGTAGATTCGCGTTTACCTTCATTACATTTCAATTCTAATAATAAAGTTGAAAAGTTAACAAAATGGCAAAGTATTTATTTTTAATATTTGGAATATCTGCAATTATTGCAATTGCTAATACTATTCCAGTTTTGCATCAACTAGAAGAGAAATCAAAAGAGATTGATCCGGAAGAGCAAGGTGGCTATTTCGAAGGTGATATGATATTAGATCAAGATCAACTTAATTCTATATTGAATCCAAAGGGCCGTCATATTCTTATCGGTGAAAAATATAAATGGAAGAATGCAATTGTTCACTATGAAATTGATTCAGTTTTCAGTAATTTGTCTCTTTGTCATATAGTGTTATTAAATATAATTTTGAATTTGATTTTAGGTGAGCAACAAGTCACAGAAATTTTGAAAGCTATAAAAATTCTCGAACAAGCAACATGTATTCGTTTTTATGAAAAAACTGCTGATACAATAGATTTCATTAGAATTACTGTAAGTTAGTTTATATACTCGTAGTGAGGACGAAATTTTCTTGTACTAATTTAAACTTGAATTATAAGGGAAATCCAACAGGATGTCATTCTTATATAGGACGTAAAGAGGGAGAACAAGAACTTAATTTACAATTATATCCGGTAGGAGAAGGTTGTTTCATTTTACATAAAATTGTTCATGAATTTATACATGCACTTGGATTTTATCATCAACAAGCTGCTTCTAATCGAGATGATTATGTAAAAATAATAGAAAAAAATATTAAAGAGGGGAAAGAACATAATTTCGAAAAGCATAATATAACAACCGTTACTGATCTTGGTGTACCATATGATTACGAGAGTGTTATGCATTATGGTCCAACAGCTTTTTCGAAGAATGGTGAACCAACAATTATTCCTTTGGATCCATCAGCTAATATTGGTCAAAGACAGAAACTTACAGAAAAAGATATCCTGAAATTGAATTTATTGTACTGTATGAAAGATTAATTGGAAAAATTGTGTGCTATTAAAAATAAATTTTAATTTTAAATCGAAATTTTACGTATCTTATTATTTGTTAATTAGATCTTAGTGAACACTATTTTTAAATAGCATAAAAATTTAATTTTCTAGCATAAAAAAAGAGGTAATTTAGTAGGGTTTACACAAAAGGATTTGTTCACAATTGCAGTAATCCAAAACTTTCCGAATCGCCTTTGAAAAAGTTTTTTGTGAATTGTAATTTGATTTCAACACCTTAATAGGTTGCTGATAACCGTTCTATAAATAATAGGATGGGCTTTTAATATTTATTTGGATTGAAATTTTATAAATTTATCTATTGAATGAGAAAATATTTTGTTTTCGCAGAATTTCAAGCAGAATTTTATTGTAATCAAAATTATGAAATAATCATTTTAATTATAAATTTACAAAAAATTATCATCTTCATTTCTCTATCTATGAGATAAATTTAAAGTGAGTTTTGAGCTTTCATTGAGTTGGAAGACTTATAAAAATCCCTATGTATTCTAAACTTTACGGTAGTGCCAAATATATATCAAAACTGTGAAGGTCAAAATATTTTAGAACAATATGAAAGGATACACAATACTACTTCTTGCTTTTTATGTGATTACTTCTTCAATCGCAATTCCAACTGAATATAAGTCTGAAAAGTTGGAAGAAGAAATTGATCCCGAGGAAATGGGGAACTACTTTGAAGGCGACATGATGTTGGATGAAGAGCAACTTCAAGCTATAATGAATCCCAGAGGCCGTAATATTATAATTGGTGATCAATATAAATGGGAGAATGCAGTTGTCTACTACGAAATAGGACCAATATTCAGTAATTTTTAAATAAAACTCTATCTAAAAGTAAATAATAATATATACATATATACATTTTTTTAAAAAACACCATGTAGAAGATCATCATATTACTTTAATTTTACAAGCATTCGATGTTATACAACAAGTGACTTGTATTCGTTTTTATCCAAAGACTGCGACAACAAAAGATTATATTAAATTTACAGTAAGAAAAATTTGTAAATATTTCCAAGGAAGAATTATTATTTTACTCTAACTGTTTATTTTAAGGGACAACCAAGTGGTTGTCATTCACCTGTTGGTCGTAAACGAGGAGAACAAACACTTAACTTAAAGCCAAGTCCCATTGGGCAAGGTTGTTTTCAACTTTATAAAATTGTGCATGAAATTATTCATGCTCTTGGCTTTTATCATCAACAAAGCGCTTATGATCGTGATAATTTTGTAACAATTGTCGAAAGAAATATCCAAGAAGGTAAAAAAAACAATTTTAGGAAATATGCAATTTCGCAAGTAACTGATCTCGGTGTACCATATGACTATGAGAGCGTTATGCATTATGGTCCAACAGTATTTTCAAAGAATGGTCAACCAACTATAATACCACATGATTCTACAGCAAATATTGGTCAAAGAGAAAAATTAAGCGAAAAGGATATTGCAAAATTGAATTTGCTTTATTGTAAAAAATAACTCTTATTGCTTACTATTGAGTTGAGTTAGTTGTTACTTCTAAAAATGTATAATTAAATTTAATATAAACAAATAAATTGGTATGTAATACGAACTTCGTTTTCATCATGATATATGTACCGCAATCAAAAGTGTGTCACCCAAATTACTGAGTCTTCTACATATTTTTATGAATTATGGCAAAGAAAGAAGATAAAACGAGAAATCTCCAGTTTATTACACAATTTCAAGTTTCGTACTGTATATCGAAAGTTTTCTGCGATGTCGGTGTCACGTCACACATTTTAAATATGACATCTGCAATGCAACATTACAAGTTTCAAGTTGTAAGAGTTTTAATACACAATCAAAATGTAAATATTGTAGTTAAAAAGCTTTGGTTGCTTTTATTTTACAAAGTAATTTAAAGGTTTTGAATTCGGTTGCAGTTTAGTCCCGGCATTTTTAATAAATTCATTCGAACAAAACTGTGTGTCAGCGTTTGAAATTAAAATTTGAGTTGTCCAATTTAATAAAGAATTTGTAGTTAAACTTGTACAACCTAAGCAATAATTTTTATATTCTAGATATGAGATTTATTTTTCAATAGTTTAATAACCAAAATATAACTAGTTTGTATTTTATTTTTCAAATTGATTCTTTATTTTAAAGAACTAAGATAATCTTATTAAGCAATTACTAGAACTTGAGCACCACTTTATTTTTATTTTTATTTATCATATCAAAATTATACAATGTGATAATAATAGGCCATAAGTGTAGCTTTATTTATAGTGTAATTATCTATTAATTCTAAGGAATTTGTATGAATGTTTCCTAATAATATTTGTAGCATTTTGGAAATTTTATTGTTTTATGATCTCTTAACTTTAAAAACAATAAGCAATTTTCATTTAAAGAGCAATTCTGTAAAAGGGCCTGATAAATTGGAAAGTACGTGAAACACTTGAGAACAACATATTGTTTTGAATTTGATTTTGTGTCCATCACAAACCTAACTATCAAGAAATATTCAATTATCGCCTGCCAATTTTTCATGTATTCCAAATATATTAATAAATTTTTGTGAATTTCTAAATAATTTCAATCACTTGATGAAGTTTTTTGTTATCATAAAAGAAATTTGTGAGAAAATCAAAATTCTCATCATTTTTGTAGATAACAGCAGAAAAATTTTGAAAAATACTTTAGAGATAGCGCCAAACGAAATTTTTATCTTAAGTTTATTGGTTTTTCACTTTTATTTTATCGTGTAAAATTTGTAATTCGTAAGAAACGTGCTTCTTTTGGAATTGATGATATGATCCATATCTGCTTTTTGGCATTTAGTAACTTAGAATTCCGCTACATGAAATAATTTTTAAATAACTTTGAATTTTCTTGTTACTGTCCCTGAGTATTGTTAAAATTTTGCACAATTTTTTAGCCTAAATATTTTACTGTGTTTTTAAAACAGAAACTAATAATCAAACTCATACGAGTACTAGGGTTTATAATAACATTATCAAAAACTTAAATTTTGTCACTATTATTAACTTTAATTGGATTCGATACGTCTACAATATTTTATAAATATAATGATAATACAGAGCTCCGTAATGAAGTTTGAATGAGTGTTATCTGGAAATATAGATAAGATAATTTATACTCAAAGTTTTTTTTTTCAATGTTAGGTCTTATACAGAGAAAGTACTTGTGCAAAAATGGAAGGATTAATAAATTGTCAGTCTAATCTAAAATTTAATCTAAAATAATTGTCACTTCTTCTTTCGCCTTATCAATCAATTGTTGAAGCAAAGCTTTATTTTTTCCAATTTTTTTGAATTATAATAAAATTCTGTATTCATTTCAAATTTTTAATCACTTTGAAAATTTAATTAAATCAGTAAAGTTAAAATTTTGAAATGATGAATCGGAATACATTATTGATAATTGGAATATGTGCAAATCTTTTATTGATAACTATTGCACTTCCAATCGAAAACAAATATGATCCTGATGAATCAGAAATTGATCCTGAAGAAATTGGTGGCTTTTTCGAAGGTGATATGATGTTAGACGAAGATCAATATGAGGCTATAATGAATCCAAGAGGTCGTAATATACAAATTGGTGAAAAATATAGATGGAAGGATGCTATTATTTATTATGAAATCGATTCAATATTTGGTGAGTTTATTAACCATAATATTACATATGGATTTACTGAGAATGTCTAAAATAATATTGATATTTAAAGATAAACATCAAGTGACACTAATTCAACAAGCTATTGATGTTATTGAAAAGAGCACTGCATGCATTCGTTTCTACCCTAAAACAGAAAACACAAAAGATTATATTAAAGTTATTGTAAGTTTTGAATAAATTAAGTGTCCGATCATTTTTTTTTAAAATGTAAAAAATTCAATTATAGGGTAATCCAACCGGTTGTCATTCTCGTGTTGGTCATTCTGGAGGAGAACAAACACTTAATTTAGCACCAAATACTGTTGGAAAAGGTTGTTTCAAATTATATAAAATTGTACATGAATTTTTACATGCACTTGGTTTTCATCATCAACAAAGTACTTATAACCGTGATGATTTCGTGACAATAGTTGAGGAGAATATTAAAGATGGCCATGAACATAATTTCAAAAAATATAGCATTTCGAAAGTAACTGATCTTGGTGTACCATACGATTACGAGAGTGTTATGCATTATGGTTCGAAAACATTTTCAAAGAATGGTAAACCAACTATAGTACCACATGATTCTAAGGCGAAAATTGGTCAAAGAGAAAAATTGAGTCAAAAAGATATTGCAAAATTGAATTTAATGTACTGTACGAAAAAATAAATGTCAATTGATTAAAAATATTTTTAATAGTTTCTTTATTATTTTTGGGCAATGGGGTTCCTTAAATTTTATAATGAAACAAATGCGAATATTAATTTCCATTTGTTTTTGAAACTTACAAATAGAGTTCATAAATTTTAATACTATTTAAATATGTCGTACTTTTCACTCTGCACTATTTTTCAATCTGCACTATAAGTATATAATTACAATAAATTTTATTAATATTTATTAATATTTTAATTCACAGATGCCTAAAATGTCAAAAAACATTAGAGATTGCTTATGTTACCGATATTTTGGATAGAGCCGGCAAAGATTTAGCAGCAATGGAGAAAGGAAATGCCGATCATTGTAAAAGGTAAATTACTGTACCTATAACATAATAATGAAATAATTGATAATAGCGGCTACAGTACAATTAGTACTCATCTCAAAATAACTAACGAATACGAGTGCAGTTTTTGAATAAACTCTTATGGAACTTGAAATTTGAATAATTCTTAACATTATTTAATTTTAATTAGGTTTTGCAATCCGTGCTTATTTCATCATTGTCTTTATTTCTAGATATATTAATCATTATACAAAATGGTTACCGAAGCAACATCATTATATTTGTGAAGTAAAAGTTGCTTTAGCGCAATTAATTGGAAGTGGTGGTCCGGAAATACTACAAAGTATAACTAATGATGAATTAAATAAGAAAATTGAGTTATGCCGTGAACAAATAGGATTATTTGAAAAATTAGCTCCATGTAAGTATATATGAAAAAATGTTCCTTAAAGGATTCAATTAGAAAATACTTGAATTCTATTCGGGCATTCTCTTATCTATTGAGCTTGCCAATCCTTTAGAATAGTTTTCGAAGAACTGAATTTTTGCTTAATTTTCAATTTAGAAATTCTGTAAACGTAGAAAAAATATGGGTTGAAATTCTCAAATTGAACATAAAATTTTTAAAATATAAAAAGTGTTATTTTAGAAACCCTTTGGTTTAAGTTGAATTTAATTTGCTTAACATAAACGAGTAATCATAAATTCTAATAATGTTTATTGGATAATAATTTTGAAAAGAACTTAATAAATTAAAATTTTCTATTGAAAATTTACAACTTGTTTATGAAAAAAGAAAAAAAAAAAATAACCAAAATTTTATAGTTTCTTTTATTTTGAATTCTAATATCGATTTGAAATGAAAATAATAGAGGCGTTATCAAAGAAAGGTGTTTAAGATTGTTAAAAAAATATTCAAAAGCTTCTTTTAATAGACATTGTATGTGATTGTTACTTAGTTTTGAGGCTTTTACAATCATAAATGATCAGGGAGGAGTTTGAGTGTTGATTATTAAAGATACTTTTATCAAATAAGATTTTGGTAGGATTGATGAGAGTCAGATAGGGCACTATAGCTAAAGATTGTGGAAGGTTTAATAAGAGGTATACAGGGTACTACAGCTACCAATAAATAAATAGTGTTGGCACATTAATTAAGTATTTTCAATTACTTAGAGGAAAATGTGCATTGAAATTTCTACACTTTTAATTCTTGGGTATTTACTCCGTATTCCATTATTAATTGTTATATTATACCAGTGTGTTTCCCCAAAGGCAAATTAATATTACGAGTTCACAACAAACTTCTTTTGACTAGTCTGGCTACGTACGTGTAATAAATATATGCAAAAGAAATTTATAATCAATTTAAGTTAAAAGAAAATTTGAATATTTTCGGAAATAGCATGAGAATCGAAATTATTGATATTTAATATTCCCCTGAGTGCGACACTGCTTTGCTACTCTTACATTATTGTGTATAATTATTTTTTTCCAATTTATATTCAAATTTTATATTTATTCTTCTTGTATCTAAAATGTATTTTTTTCCCCATTTTAATTTTTATTTTTATTGTATAGCTGAAGCTAGAATGTTGGGTTTATTATGTTTTGAATTACATGCTGCTTTAGCTGAACGTGGTCGTCGTGCCTCAACTCGTGAAGATGATGCAGATATATGTACATGTGCGTTGGAGGAATCTTTAGAATATGTTGAAAAATCAATTAATTATTTACAACATGAACCAACAACATTATCTGAGGGCCAAATATATGGACAGGCAAAGATTAATCGAGATTCATTGAAATTAGTTATGGGGCTGCCGTGTTAAAATTATAAAAATATAATGGAAAAAAATGAAAATAAAAAAGAATTAAACAATAATTTTTTGACATTTATATTGAGAAAATTTTAAGAAAATAAAAGAAAAGAAAAAAGCAAAATATCATAGCGAAAATATTTAGAAAAATGTTTTTTTTTTTTTTATAGTTTTTCCCATTCTTTATGAATTAGAATTCAATGGTAATATCTTTATATTTTGTTATTTTTAGTTTATTATAAATGAACACCTCAAGAATCAAACAAAACAAAATTTTTTTTCTCTTTTATTTGGTATCAAATCTGGAGGTGGTAGTCGAATATTTTTATTATTCTTTTGACAAGAATAATTGGTTTGAACTTCGGTAGGAACTTTTTTTGTATTTTCTTTTTTGCTTATTTTGAAATTCTATAATACAAAATTATTTACTTTATTATATTTAGCTCTAGGTAATTTGAATTTTACAAATTAAGATATCTTATAGTGCAAGAGAATTTTGAATGTAAACATCCATGCTTCTATATACAGAAGAAGAAATGCAGATATTTTATGTAAAATTTTTAATATTAAAAAACAAAAGTATAGTTTAAGAGAGTGAAAAATGCGATCATATAAATTAAATGCTGCCTTCATTAGGGACTATTAAAAAGATCACATTTATTTTATTCTAACTTTTTACTAGAAAATAAGAATTTAGATCACAGACCAGGCCAATTTGAATTGAAAATAATTTTATAAAAATTTGGATTAATGGCAACAGATAAAATTTTTAGGCAAAAACTTTTAAACCAAACCCATGCAATTTGTTAATTAATTTTTAAAAGCTCCTCATTTATTAAATGATCCTCTCATGTGGTAATTATTAATGAGAATATTCTAATGTTTTTGAAAAGAAGTACAGGAGGAGAAGCGAAATATTAAGAACGCTGCTTATTCGAGTATCCAAAATAATCTCATGTATATGCATAAATGTATATGCCTTCTAACAAATAAGAAATTTCAATTCCCCCTTTTTACTTTCAAAATTAGTAATAAAATTGATTTATTTGACGTTCCTTCGAAAATTTGTGATTGCAAATCAATAGTTTAATTATATACAGGACAACTATGAGATAAAAAAATTCTACTTTGAGATAGAAAAAAATTCATTTCGAAAGTGAAAATTGAGAGAATTAATTTTGAAATGAGGTGAAAAGTTTTATTATGTAATTTAAATTATTTTAAAAAAACATTGTATCTTGTGACGCGGTTTAACTTTTAAAGAAGCTCAAATTGTAAGAACAAACTCAATTGAAAATTTTGCAATTATTTTTTTAAATAATTTGTTAGAAACATAATTATTATTTTACTTCAGTGTAGTCTTTTGAATAATACTTTAATATGTAAAATGTACAAGTTGATTTTTAGAATATGAAAAAATTGCATATATTTAGGATTAATACTATAATTTGGTAAAAATACTAAAAACACATAATATAATTTAGGGCTTGATTAAATATATCTGTCTTTTTTACTCGCTTAGTGAGCAGAAAGTGAGTTGGTATAATATGTTTGTATATTGCAATTCGCAAGTGTAAAAGAATTGTTCTGTATTCCTTAACTTGTTTTTTTCCAAAATCATAAAAACTTTTATTTTTTAAGATGATAAGTTCAGCCAATATTTTGAAAACAATGATAACATTTTAGTTGAAGTAATCATTTAGTTGTCAGTTAGTTGTCATTTAGTTGATCAGTAATCTTGTTTTAAAAATGACAAATTAAAAGAACGAGATTTTCGATTGGACAATGAATAAAAGAAGGTGAGATAACTGAAAAAGTGAGATATGCATACTCAATTTTTTTAATTTTTACAAATTTTATTCATGAGTTTTCAAAGTTTTTTTATAAATTGATAAAAAAATTAATCCTGCAGCTATTTTAATGTTTAATTTTGCTATATTGGAATTTTATATTGCGCACTAACGGTGTTATTGTGAATGAAAATAGAAAATTTGCATTAAAAAATATCATTGCTTGGATCATTGCATAAATTAATGCAAAATAAAGTTGAACCTTCCAATAATAATGGTTCTTTCAAAGGGCTAAGTGAACATACTTTTTTTAAACAAGTAATATTCTATTTAAATTATAATTGGTCGAGTTCTAACTGCAGATATGTAACTTGGTGATAACTTGGAAGGTGAAGAAGATGGAAGAAAATTTTGTTCTAAAAAAACCAACGAATTTTTTAATTTCTGTCTAAATATTAAGTTCCTGCAACTTACCGCCTAAGAAAAAAACAAAACTCTGTAAATGTACGCATAGATGAACAGCCGGACGAATTGTTTGGAATGTACTACAAACGGAATGTTATATTTGTTCAAATTATAATTCAAAAATATTAAAGTATTATAATTATTATTAGAAAACTATTATAAAGTTATGTATGAATATTTTTTTGGAAAAATTATTCTAAAATATTTTAGTTTTCGTTTTAATAGTGATTAATTTGTAAAAATCACTTTAAGCGAGCAATTTTTCAATTATAAATTGGGTCATGAAAATTTTTGCTGTAGTGTATAAATAACTGTAATTAAGTGTCATAATATTTTTCTTTTAAAAAATTTATTTCCATTCTTTAACTGATTTTCCGAAAGAAAATATGCTTATTGGTTTTGCTCTGTTCTTTTTACTTTTTGTCAAAAAATGATTTTAATTTGCATTAAAGACACATTCAAGCTTCTTAAAATTACAGGTTAAAACAGACAATAAGACTTTAGATTAGTTTATAATAGATAGACGGAGCGGCATCAGTGAGGTATAAATCACAATGAGTTAATAGCTCTAACTTTGAAAAGGATAAACCTGCGATGCGTTAAGGGCGGTTACTTTTTTCTCTCTGTATATAACTTAAACGTTTTATACTGACGGATCAAAAGACCTTCCTTATGTTTCTACTAACGGCTTGTAATTTCTGCAAAAGTTGTTACTTGTGGTCTCAATTAGTTCGTATGCATCCCAATTAAGTTATTGCTAATCAAAATGCCAACCAACGCGCTTCATTGCGCAATGCAAAAAGAGAGAGCATAGTCTTTAGGAGAGTGCAATTAACTCTTCGTTTAGTCAATCTCTTTAAGCAGCTTAAGCAAATCCAAACACAGACAAGAGATAGTGTTTTGTTTTTTAATTATTTAAATTGTGATTTTTTTTCTTGTCCCCTGACTAGTACCATGAATTAATAAATTTAAATTACATTAATTAAACATGTGATTTCTAATGTGGTAAGAATTGTCAATTTAATTAATTAGATCAAAAAATTTTATGAAGCACTAGCAGGAAATGTGCTTCAAAAATGAATGAAATAATTTCTTTACTTTAAAATATTTTAAGTACACTTTTCGCAGCAAAATTTCAATTTTCATATTGCAAAGTAATAAATTTGCACTTTTTTATGGAAAAAGTCAAAGGGAACAGTACATTTAGTCTTTATATTTCTCTATAATTTTAAACTATAATTTGTGTATATAGTAGTGCATTCGAGCCATAGCAATTTTAGTGTACTATTTGTTCTAGTTCCAAATAAATTTTTAGAAAGTTTAAAATTATTTTCATGCACTAGATTTAATTTCTTTTAATATAATTAAGTAACAATTTGCTCTAATAGAGCAAATTGTTACTTAATAACATGCGCGTGCTTAAATCGTAGAAACAAATTATGAAAAATATTCTAGAATTTTTTGAGTATATTTAATAAAATATTAAGTAAATTAGCAATATGAATTTAAAATTTACTATTGGAGTAATTATAGAAAATTACCTATGCACAATTTACAATGTATTTGAGGAAATGATCGACTTTTACTTTTAAAGTTCTAGAGGGCAGGAATGTGAACTTATAATATTATCGTTTCTTTTTTTGTGGAATGGTATTTGTTTGAATTCCATCATTAAGCTCGAATTATTTCACTTCTAATAATTGGATGCAAACTGAAGACAAGGTCTACGAAAATAATTGGAAATTTTTTATTTTGAAGATTTTTTTGCATTAAAGGAAACACAAATTTAATAAACTAACGGATATAAAACCTTGTAGTAGTTTTCAGTCAAAAAACGATTTCTGTGATTTGAAATCTTGTGTCTAATAATAAGTAAGGTAATCTTAATAAAAGGAGATTCTTATTATTTTTTAATAACTAAATTTTTTATTATATTTCAATTAACATGCTTATAACATTTTCCAATTGAAATTATTAAATAAGTCAAGAAAGACCGTGGAAAATATGTAATGAATTTACAAGAGCTATAATGTACTTGTACGTATAGTTGCGTATGTAATTCTTAAATACCCATATGATATACGAAATAGAATTCTTATAATTTTCCCATACAATATCATTTAAATCCAAATATTTTTTATTCTAATGATATACGTTACAAATAAATCTAGAATGAAATTTATATTTTCTAGAAAGTACACAGTTTATATATTATAATATTTACAGTTCCACCAATGCAATACGTTCTTATAAAAAACTCACCATTCGGTGATCGTGTTTTAAATAGAAAAAAATATTTTTTTATGAATATTTTATTCATATTTGTGTAACAATCATTATTATTTATATTTATATATATTAAAGCATAATTATTGTAAAATAACACCGTTTTAATTTCTATGCCATCGGTATTTTTATAAAATTATTACACATATTTTTTATTTTAAATTTTTTTATCCTAAAAAGAATTGTTTGATTATAGTCTTTTGTTTTTTGTGCTTATTTAATGCATTTTAAACTAGATATTGTTAGTAAGAATATATACTACAGGAGCGGCTCAGTATCTTGAAAGCCCGAGCGACTTTTCAAAATTTTGCAATATTTCGAGGGCCACATATAAAGCTGTATTAAAAAGTGTGCTTTTCTCAAATTTTAGATTACAAATTATGTCCATAACTAAAATGTTAGAAATTATTTCATTCAAAGCAAGTTCAAAATCGGTCTAGACTCTAATGTTGAACGATTACAATTAATGATAACGTGACTGCTTATCTTAATTTTGTTCAATTTACTCTTTTACTTATTTTTGTTCAGTTTTAAGACATTTTGAAAAACATATACGGAACGATAATAATTTTTTAAAATTTAATAACGC